TCCATAGAGTGCCACTCTTCACATTAGGCTTGGATCAATTTGAAGGCCAACTCCACCTTTCTGACAGTTTTTGATATTTTAAGGCAGGAGAGTAAAATCCGCTTTGTAAATGGCGTTGCTCATCTTGTTTGCTTCATGGAAGTACAGACAATATGTTCATATTGTGTTACTACGTAGGATCTTGGAATGTTAGGACTATTTCAATGTCACGTCTGATCAGCTGGACAGAATGATAGACCTCCATGGTAATGAAACGTTCATACACTATTGACACTTCGGAGCCCTGTGGAAGCACAACAAACCGGGTACAAAGAATATTTACAGAGCCAATCGTTTACTTTCCCGTCTTGAAGTATGACTTGTTAGGAAGGTGCAGTTGCTGTTTGAAATTCTAATCATTTTTTTTTTTTTTTAACATAAACAAAGGCTTAAAATATGAAAAAGAAAAAAAAATCCTCCTATCTTGTATATTGGTTGTGACACTACTTCAAATTGCTAAGTTGTGAAACTTTTTGGCCATAAAATCTGACCATGTTCATGAAATAGAAAACAGACCTATACAACGGGATTGTATATATTTGTTCAATTATTTTGACCAAAAAGTTTAATAAATTTTAAATGTTTACCTGATTTTTGAGTTGTGTACTTTGATAATTGGGTCTTTTTTGCATTCTTTTTATATAAATAAGCAGTTTTTTTTGTAATAAGTCTGACTACTAAGAGAATGAGAATTTGAGTAGGTGCTGTGAGCAAGGCCAATTCTGCATCAGCCGAGGGCCCTTTTCAGCACCGCACTGAGCTTTTTTCACACCGTTTCATGCGACACCCCTATTTGAAGTGACAGTTAAATCTTAAAAATACATTCAAGCACCTCAACTATTAACAAAATATCTTATTTGTGTATCACTCGGCTGTAGATCCTCAAATCATCTCTGAATTGGTGCTGACACTGTCCTTCCTTCTGGCGGGTGGCTTCTTTTCTTCCCCATGGTCCCTTTTGTGTGTCGTAAAGTAGCCACCGCTCCAAGCTCACTCCCAGGATGGACTACAATCTCAATACAAATGAGTAAACTAAACCTGAGATTGTAGTCCATCACAGGAGTGAGCTTGGAGTGGTGGCTACTTTACAACACACACAGGGACCATGGGGAACAAATGTAGCCCCCCCCCCCCCTCCAGAAGGAAGGACAGTGTAGGCGCCAATTCAGAGATGATTTGAGGATCTACAGCCGAGTGATACACAAATAAGATACATTTCTGGTAATAGTTAAGGTACTTAAATCTTAAAAATACATTCAACTCCTGAGTTTAGTGTCACTTTAAGCTGTAACATGGTCACACCGCCCCCTCTTTTACCTGGAAACACAGGGTTCTTCTCACCACAGCCTGCAATCTTTGAATTTGGCACAGCACTGTATGACATCACCTCACTTGCAGTCCATTGCATTAGGAGCCTAATTGCACATTTGTTTTATGAATGTGTGTGCATTTATTTGCTGATGGGGACCGACTTTAAAGTCCATTTCCACCTTTTGCAGAGGTATTAAAAAAAAAAAAATGTCAGCGATGTACACTGAGTGAATATGAAGCAGGCATATGCAGCTGGTGTATATGAACACAGAAACTTACATTTTTTGTTTAGCTTTCCTCTTCATGTCCACATGGAAATGTCTGCCTCTGTGCTGTGTTTTCCCCCC